CAAAGATAGTTGCAGATTTCTGTCAGAATCTGCAGATTATACAGTACAAATAAAATGTTCACGTTTCTCCAACGTTGTCTTCCCAACAGTTTCACTGACATCTACACTGGATGGCCAGGAAGCGTTCGCGATGTCTTCTCCGGCGCTGATAATTGGCGTCTGTCTTGTGTCGGTGACGTAAAAGACGGATTTAATGCGACTTGACCGTTCAAACAGCAGTCGCTTTCTAAAACATCGGATATGTATCGGATTCAGTACCACATACGAAAGTGACCCAGATCGGATTTGAAAATATCGGATTTGTGCCGTTCACACTGTCATACCATGATCGGATATGGGTCGCATAGGGTCAAAAAAATCGGATTTGATGTGCTTTCGCCTGCAGTGTGAACGTAGCGTTAGTGTGTTTTCAAATCGTCACTGATCATTAGTTCTAGAAAGTTACAGCCACATACCAAAACATACATTTTCTATTACATTTCTACACTTTTGAGTATTTTTAAGAATTTTTAATAGTATAAAATGTGTATACAAAATAATATTATAATATTTTAAAATATTAAAAAAAGAAAGTTCCAAAAACATCACAGATTACAGATGTGCAGTTTAAGTGAACACATCATAAACTGGAATTATAAATGACCATTAGTGGTTTAACTGTAAAGAAAGACTTAAAACTTGATTTAAATGAAGCTGCTCATTCATGAGAGATTGTTGTTCAATTAAGGAAAACATTTGGTGTCAGACATCTGTAAATCCATCAGCTAATGTTTCTAATGTGGAAAACAGTCAGCAGCAACAGCATTGTTAGGAATAAAGTTTCTATATCTATCACCACACATCACGCACAGACTTTGGAGCTGTTTGATCATCAGACTGGCTGCTAGAATTTGCTCTCATACAGCTTTAAGTGCATGTCTAGTGAAATTTTCTGCTTATAAAATCTGTAATTTATTGCTTGTCTATCACATCCCCAAAGAACAGCCATGATGTCAATTCTGAGGCAATTTAATTGTGTGCTTTATACTTATCAGTGACCCCTTGAGAAAGACCCATGGTGTCTATGTACACTTTGGAGTCAGCTTCAAAGATGTCCTTGGAACATTAAAACCTATCATGAGGGGACAGTGCCTGTGGTTTAACCTGTGAATAAATCCTGGTCTGTTACATTAACTGCCTTTAAGTACCTTTCCAGGTTTGTGGTAACACCAGAAGCAGCCAAGCTACAAGGGACAACTTTTACCCACTCTGAGAACATGTCAATAACCTGGAGCAATACTTTTACCTCCATATGGTATTAGTTCAATGAAATCCATTTATAGTTGTTCACAAGGTTTATCTGATCATATTTGTGCTACCTGTAGAGTTTCAATACCTGTACCTGGATAGGTAGTTACACAGGCAATAGAAGATTACAAAATAACATTTCAGAAAACACTTTAACAAGTCTGCAACAAATTAACAAGTGGCTCTTGGCGGAAAGGGATTGTCTGAAATACCGGAAGTGACTCAACGATTAGGCTTACTCCATATTTGTAGTACAGAAAAGTGATTTGTCACGGGGTTTTAAGAAAATACCTGTAGTCACACTTTCACAAGCAGAAAGTTTGAAATTATTTATTTCATAATAACTTGTAAAGTTATTTATTTCATATTCTGTATAGTTTTTCATATTTATATCCTGTTCATAGCCTGTACATACTTATAGTTATAGAATATTCACAACATACTTCATACCGTGTACATTATAACATACCATAATAGACCCATTTCTGTAATATACTCACATATCTATATTATTGCTAATATATATTGTAATATATCTATATCACTAAAGCACTTCTGGATGGATGCAAACTGCATTTCGTTGCCCTGTACCTGTGCATGTGCAATGACAATAAAGTTGAATTCTATTCTATTCTATTCTAAAAAGAGACTGAAGGAGCTTCAGAAAGAAGTCAAGGAACAGCCCCAAAATCAGTGCTGTCCTTTCTGATTTGATTTTTATTTTTAAAGAATTATTTTACATTTATGTTTACATCAACAGCTGGTGTGCTTAAGCCACCACACATTCCTTTATATTTTACTAAGAAATTGGAAATAAGCACAGCAATTTATTGTAATGTGTAGTGTAGAACCACCAGAATGCCAAACCTCTGAAAACCACCAGGGGGAGCCCTTTTGATCCCACCGTGCAACATCAGCAGTATTAGCAATCCTTTCTTAAAGGAGGGCTTAATTTTCACCTCATACTTCTAATTAAAATTACCAGTTACAATTTTAAAAGTATTCAAGATGAATTTTGAGGTGTTTGATTAGTCTGATTTTATCACATTTTTGACATGTATGAAAACTGGACTGAACAGCTAATTGTCTACATTTTAAAACTAACCTCACAGTTGGCTCCAACAAAGTAAGAAATGCATTGTAGTAAATTAATTACTGTAAAAGTATGACAAAGTTTATCACACCCTCCATAACTGCCTTCGATCACCAGACCTGCAGCCTCCCTCAGTCTCCAGCCCTTGACCTACAACTTTACCCTTCACTTCACCAACTACTTGGTTTATGCAGATTCTGCATCCAACAAAACAAGACAGTCAGCCACATCAGACCCGCATGCAAATGGAAATTACCAGTGTGGCAACTACACTAGGTGTCAAAATACAAGTAAAACTACTAACTACTTTTCTCATCAACAAACTGGAAAAATGTTTCAGATTAGAAGTCTGATTACTTGTGCATCTACCCATGTTATACATATGATAAGTTACCCGTGTGATCTTGCATATACCAGTAAAACTAACAGTGAACATAACCTTCCTGTCGTGTTCGGGTCTCATCTAACTGATTTACAACTTAAAACACTTATAAATATTGTGTTTAACATCTGATTGCCTCAAGGCCTTATGACATCCTCCACACTATGCACTTGAACATATTCTGATGAAGTTGTGATAAACATTTAATCTTATAATCACTGAACTATATATTTTGCTCTATAGAAACCAAACTAATATAACAGGGCTGTTGAGGGTGTTGAGACCAAAACTTTAAATCTGTCTTCCAGGTTTATTGACTGTAGATTTTATAGCTCTGATGAATTCTATTAGCACAAAAGAAGAACACTAACTGATCTCTGCCAACAGGTTTCCCACAGCAGCTGTGGATTTCTGTCATTTCTTATGAGATGATCTGACCAAAACCAACCCAGAAGTTGCTCAACATGTAACATGTTTAAATAATCAGTTGTTCAACTTGTAACACTTTATTCAGTCAAGACTCAGTTAAGTGAAGCAAAAGCTCTTCTCATGCATCTAAATTTCCCAAATACTAAAATTGGTTTAGTCTTTGTTTAATTAAGTAGTAAATGCATAAATCTTATCAACTAAGAATATGTTGATAATTCACTGCTGTGTCTGATTTATTAAGTTAATTTTATTTTTTTGAAAGATTTTCTCAAACTTATTTTAAGCTAGTTAAGCAACCAATCAATTATTTGATGAGCTAAAGCACTATTCTGGGAACATTTGTGTGTCTGTGTGTTTAATAGGGTTAATATTGTGTTCATTTTTCTGTGTCAGACAAATAGAACTGTGATGTTGCTGTATCTGTGTTATGGTGTTTCAGAAACATTTATATATAATAAAAAAAATGAAGTTAAGTGAAGTAAGAAATGGAAAAAAACAATCTTGATCTTTTAATATTAAATTTCTTAATACTAAAAAAAATAAAGTTCCAAAACATCACATTTTTCTTTTTCTGTATGTAAACATATATTTTGTTTCTTTCTTTTCTCATACACAGGAAAACGGAGAGAGTAATTTTTCCAGAGTCAACATCATTTTCATCTAAAAGAGTAGTTATTGCACGTTTTGGAACCTAATCACTTCAATTGGCCGCTAGAGTTGGAGCCAAAAAACAGAGGAAATTCTATCGGAGTAATATAGAAAGACCACGCCCATTTTCGCTTCTTAAGTTTCGTTTCTGCCGCCATTTTCTTATCCCGCAGTGGAACGGAGGCGACTGTCAGCATAAGCCAGGTAAGTGAGCAAAGTGCTAAATAATGATTTTATATAGAATAAAATGTGGAGTTTTTGTTTATGTGAAGGGTAATGCATGTATTATATTACAGCTTCTGAGTTTGTGGGTCTTACATGCTACATAATTGCCAAGGTTTATGCTAATGTTAGCTTCCAACAAAATTAATGTTGTTCGACCACTCAGACAGCTATATTTCAATAAACTTAATTTAGCATTGCTGAATAGCTGTTTTTAGGTAGTATAATTGACCAGGGAAGTTTTTAACAAATTTTACTGTGTAGATGATATTTTCACTGGGTGTCACATAAATGGACCCAAAAGCAGACACTATGCTCAACAGCCACAAGTTTACAGTGAGTTTATTTGCGACAAAGTAGTGAAAGTTCATGGCGGGAGTCTCGGGGGGCAAAGTGCCTGAAATGGGAGAGAGAGTGGAATTAGTCCATGGCGAGGTTTGTGACGACGAGAGATTAAACAGTGAGAATGGGGTTTGCCTTACTTGTAGCGCAGGGAGGCAGGAGAGCTGTAGATCGAGGGCAGGTAGTTAAGGGCAGTTTCCAGCAGGTGAAGAGCCGCAGATGTCCTTACAGGTGGGGGACAGCGTGGGAAGAAACCAGGTAAGGCTTGGATCCGCCGACTAGAGGCGGGCCGCTCTTCAGCAGAGAAGAATAGCTGAGCCCCGATCACCAACACCCGAGTGGCTGACACTGGGATTGTCTTTATATATATTTTTTGTCAATTATTTTAAAACAGTTAACAAATTTAAAGGTGAATGAAATGAAATGAAAGTAGTAACTGACATCCACACCCCTCTGTTGGGTCATTTTATTTTAAAATATGTTAATATATATATAAGTTTATATATATAAGTTTTTGTTCTTGCCATGCTTACTATTTAGCTGCAGAAGATTCACTGACATGTTTGCAGCTACAAGGCTTATGTAGAATTTTTAAACCACAAGCTGAGACTGAAATGATCACACTGAAGTATTAACTCTACTGTGAACAAACGTTTTCTCGTGCGGTTTGTCTCTAAGAAGCTAAAATTACTGGAGTGTCTGCAGCATCTAAAATCACTACACGCTGAGTAAACTGAGATACTGAGAGGTCTTTAAACATGCTCAGCAGGCCTGTGGTTTTAAACTCTTCTGTGCATGACAAGTTTAACAGCAACCAACAAAGTCAACAGAATACTGCAGGAAAAAAAGTATATAGAAAAAAAAACTGAAGTCGAAGTATTTTTTACAATATTTGCAATCACCTGTCATAGTGTAGCTCTTATAATTGTCCAGTTCACTGCACTGTTTTATTATCTAAATGTTAAAACTTCCAGAACATTCTCCATCAGTCATCTTTATATACAGATACCATTTATGTCTGTGTAACACTGAGTTTTCCAAAGTGAAGTAATCCCACTAACAAAAGCAGCAGAACCACCATCACAATGGTGAAAATAGTCCTCAACATTAGGAACACCTGGACGGCAGAACAAGAAGATGAGCAGGTCTCTCTGTGAAGTGCTGCAATGATAAAAATACATCTGCTGTAAAACAAATAAGGTTTACCTTTAAATGACAGAATGGGAAAACTGATTGTCTCCACTTAATTATATTTAGCTACACTCTAAAATTATAATTTATTCTAGCTCTTAATTTCTGATTTAAAATGTCTGAATTTGTACCTGTGACAGTCAACAAGCTCTCTGGTGATTCTCCAGTATCAAACATCTTACACTTGTAGAGTCCTTCATCAGACCTGGAAACTTTGTGGATGGTCATCTCTCCTGTGTAGCTGTTCCCGATGAGGAAGCCATCTTTATAGAAATCAGCCGTGAGGTTTGAAGTCTTTGTCTTGTTCCTGCAGCGCAGAGTCACATTGTTTCCCTCCTTGACAGGGACAACAGGACTCTCTAGGACAACAGAACCAGCTGAAAAACAAGACTTTTTATCTGATACAGAAATCTGTAACATTTCAAACCAAGCAAGCAAAAGACTGAAATAATAAGTGGAATAATTTTATACTTAACAGCTGCCATGGTAATGAAATTTTGGACTCATTGATAGTCACTAATTTTAATGTTAATTTTTATTAATAGTACATAAGACTGAACAAATACTGTGGCTTGATTCATCAATATTGAGGCAACATTTGAATGGAATCATTATGATTCATTAAAATAATTAAGTTAAATACTGTTTGCAATAAATGATACTAATAATAGTTCCGAATACTATAGTTATAGATAACCAATAGAACATTTTTATGTTAGAAAATGTTTCTGAATGACATAAATCCATCAGGTCATAAATGACCTCATCTATTCATAATAAAATATTTCGGTCACTCGAGTGTTAAACATACGAGTTATTGTGATGTTGACACTGATGCTTTTCTCTCCTGCTCCAGTCTCACACCAGTATTCACCGCTGTCTGTTGCATAGGCTCGAT